AAACCTTGCTGATTGAACCTACACGGTCTCCAGGAGTTCCTTGGGCTAGGCCTGACAGTTAAATTATGTTTGTGTTTTAACAAACTATAACTCTCCCATACATTAAGACAACATGCTCTTTGTAGTCTAAACTTCTCATGTAATATTGAATGGACATGTTAGTGTTTCCCACTGGGGCAGTATCTTTGAAATGATCCCTTCTAAGTCGCATTCACAGTTCTGAAGTGTTTACATGCCTACATAGTCAATAGAGCTGCTTTTTGAATGTTATGGAAATTTTCATCATCAAGCTTATGGTGTGTCAACGTGTGTATACTTTGATTTTTCAGTATGCAGAGTTCAGTAGTGTTCATATTTTCTAACTGTGGATAGAAATATATATGGGACCCAAATATGTGCATTTCTGTAGCCATTTGAATGTCTGAGAGAACTATGTATAAATTTCTGGATAATATCTGTATGCCATTCAGCATCTAGATATGTATTTGTACCTTTTCAGTGTGAAAGCTGAAACATTTATCTTGATAACTAGTGTTAAATTTGAATGAATAATTAGAAAATGAATTATGTACATTAATTCACATACTTATCTTACACTTTTATTAATTGAGTTACAGTTGACTTTTGAGTTTACAATTGTGTTATCACATAAGTTAACATACAAGTCCTGGTAGATTCAGTGTTTGAATATTGGTATGGAATGAAAGCAAAAGTCAGTTTTGTAAAGTTCAGTACAGTATATACATATCAACTACAAGTAGTCCTTGCTTAACAATGGCAATTGGGACCAGAATTTCCATCGCTAAGTGATGCGCTCATAAAGCATGACATCATGTGACTGCACCTCATAATGATGGCAGTTCTGGTAGTCCCCAGTTACCGTTGTTAAGTGAGGACCACACATGACCATGACTTTTGACTTTCGACTTTCTGCCAGCTTTCCCATTGACTTTGCTTGTGGGAAGCCGGTAGGGAAGGTCACGATCATGTGACTGCGAGACACTGAGATGGTCAGAAATCCAGGCCAGTTGCTGAGCACCTGGATCATGATCATGTGACCACAGGGGTGTTGCACCAGCCGGAACTTCAAGGACTGGTTGTATCTACCACTTGTTCAGCACCACTGCAAGTTTGAATGGTGGACCACTTGTATATCTTCAAGTAAATATGTTATTGTTAGTTTGTTTCAGCTCTGATTCATCTGTATCCTCTTGTTTTTCCTAGCCTTTTGCTTCTAATATTTATTACCCATTTCCACTGCCTGCATCTCGACATTATTGGACAGATATGCCGGGTTCCACATTTCCTGTGAACTTCCAGCGCAACAGTGATCTTTTTGGCAACATGCTAGCCAGCCCTTCTGTAATTCCAGCCTTTAAATTCCAGTTGCGGCGAGAAACTATTGACTGGAGGCGATTCAGCGCCATTGATGTGGAACGCGTAGCTCGTGAGCTAGATCTTGCCACTCTTCAGGAAAATATCAGTAGTATCACCTTTTGTAACCTTGATGCAGAGAAGTGCCCCTATTGTCAGCAGCCAATAGATCCTGTTCTCCTGAAGGTTCTTAAGATGGCCCAGCTGACCATCGAATATTTGTTGCACTCCCAGGAGTACTTAAGCATGAACTTGGCACTCCAAGAGGAACAGCACCAGGCAGCCCTTGAAGACTGCAGGCGTATCAAGTATGATTTAGATAAGCAAGCAGAAGAATTGAAGGGGGTGAAGGAAGAAAGCAGGAGACGGAAAAAGATGATTGCCACCCAACAGTTGCTCTTACAAGCTGGGGCCAATAACTACCACAAGGTGAGGTTTAGGTGCAGGAGAAATTTATTAATTCTGCATTTTAACCCAAAATGTGCCTATTTTTTCAAAACCCACAGAAATTTGATAATTTTTCTTAAGTTCTCAATTCTTCCAGTGGAGAAAAAACTCTATACAAAAATGTATACATTAGTAAAAATGTACTCCATTATGGGGTACCACAGAGGTTGATTCTTTCCTGTATCCTGTTTAGCATCTACATGAAGCCCCTGAGAAAGGTCATTCACCATTTTACAATGAGGTATCATCAATATGTTGAAGATACTCAGGCTCACCCAAACAAAACAGAATGGCTATTCATTCAAATCCCTGTTAATTCTGGATAAGTACCAACTTTGGTTCTGACGGGATAGTGCTGTCCCACAGAGAGCAAGCTAAAAGCTTGGGGATATTTCTGAAGTTAGAGCTTCTCTAAAAGAGCAAGTGAGAGCCATGGCAAGGAAGGCTTTTGCCCAGCTCTGACTGGTGCAGCAGTGGCATTACCTAGAACAGGAAGCACTGAAGGTCACTGATTCATTTGTCATCTTTGCCTGGATTACTGTAATTCACTTTATATGAAGTTTCTCTTGAAGACTACCCACAAACTTCAACTGGTATAAAATGCAGTGGCCCATATGCTTAAGGGACAGTCATGTTACAACCATGTGTCACTACTGCTATAGGAGCTCCATTGGCTAATAGTGTGTTGCCAACTGAAATTGAAGAATGTTTGTTACTTATAAAAGTCGGTATGGCTCAAGGACTGGGTATCTGTGAGACTGCCTTTGCCAGATAGATTCTGCCTGCCCAATCAAAGCAAACAGAGTCTGTCTACTGAAAGTCCTCACTATTGTGTGGTACAACAGGAGGAGTCATGGAAGCAGGCATTCTCTGTGCAATTCCCTCTTTTGGAACAGCTTTCCCCTAGAAGCAAGGGAATCCCCACTCTTAATGGCTTCTGAATGTCATAAGAGCCCCTATTTTCACAGCCTTATAAAGGACTTTGGAGATTTATTACCATTGGTACTGAATGTGGGCTGTTTTAATACAAATTGTTATTTGTATATTATATATTTAGTGTATTGTTTTTAATATTTATATTAGTAAGTTGTTACTGTTGCTCTGATGTACATTGCTTAGAGCTGTTTAAATTGAAGTAATATATAAATCTTACAATAAAAACAAAGTAAACTTATTGATGTTCACTGGATAACCACTACACCTGATAGATATGTCCCTGCCTTTTATTAGGTCATTGCTGAGCACCTATTTAGTGATACCCTTTTTTGATTATCACTGCTACGTCATTCTTTTGTATGGACTCATGCTCGGACTAATGTATTATATAACCATCAAGTTAAAGTGGTCTACTTGGTCCACTTAAGTTCACCTGTATCTAAGACATTCAGTTTAATACGGTGTTCCTCAGCCTTCGCAACTTTAAGATATGTGGACTTCAACTCCCAGAATTCCCCAATCAGCCATGCACATATCTTAAAGTTGCGAAGGTTGAGGAACGCTGATTTAATACATTCTATCACACAAGTTTTCCTTGGTTCACGCTTCTCACAACCATTTTTCAATTCCATGTGTTCTGGTAAAGTGAGGAACTTTAATACTGTCACCATCAGTGATGACATGGCTTTGGACTGGCCATGTCATCATTTCCGGATCTACCTGTAGAAATTCTTCCCCAGTAATCAGAGCAGTGCCATTTGACTTGAGGGTCTCATCCTCTGGTACCCAAATTCATCTAAACATTGCAGCTATATGTATACAAGTTTCTTTGCAACCATACATAAATGGTTTACCATTGCCTTCTTCCAGACTGATGCTGGAATTCCTTATATAGTAAGTTCGTTTCCTTTATACCTGCAGAGTCCTTTCTAATCTTATCCTTCATGTGGATTAGTTCTTAGTTTCCTGCTCCTCTTTCAATCTTACGTTTTCAGCGTATCCAAGTACAGTTATTTGCACCTTTCAGCAGTTCATAGATGTAAATAAAGACACATTTAGACCCATTTAGCACCCTGTTTTCACAGCAAAGATTGTGCTGAAGTACACGTGCTTCTGACCACAATTATTCAGTGCTGAATGCATGTAGTCTTTGAACACATAAGCCAGTGTTTACCATTTGAGCAGTTATTGATAGAACAAACATTTTTAAAATTCTTTTTAAAGTAACCATAAAAAATAAACTTGAGGCAGTAGTTTATTAGGGCTTGACACCTGAAAAATAAGGACTGTCCTAAATAACAATTACATCTAAAACAAATGCAGTTGCATCATTTCAGGAAATATAAAAAATCTTTGCTTTTGTTCAAGTGCTTCAGAGGTTGGGGATATCAGTTTGGATAAAAGGCTTCAAATTATCTAGATGCTAATCTATCCAAGATTCAGAACTATATTAATTGCATAGAAAAGATGATCTGGGGTTAAGATTGGAATTGAACCAAATAGACTTTTGTCCCCTGTGTGTCTTACGGCCCTAGGAAAGGTAGATAAATGGGCAGAGAATGAACCACTTGGAGGAATTCTGCTACCCTTGGACTAGATGCTTAATCTGTCTATAGGTGACTTTTCATCCTTCTGTTTATTTCTTAGTGCCAGCTTTGTGACAAGACCTTCATGAATTATTCCTTTCTACAAGGCCACATGGAGCGTAGGCATCCTGAGGCCACTGCAGTCGGTAAGCACTAGGATTGCCTGAATATTTCTCCTATGGAAGGAGTTCCAAAGGGTCAAGTTTAGGGAGAGAGAGGAATTTTTATAAAGTTCACATATTAACTCAGACATTCAGAGGGTTGTTTATATCCACTTCCAGAATAAAGAGAGAAGAAGTGTTGCATGAGGTTAAATTAAGGCACATTTTAATATAACAAAGCATTTGCAATGAATCTGATACTGCCATAACGTCTGAACCACTATGTATCTATCTTTATACCAGGTTAGAGTGAACACGATGTGGCTCTGAGTTGGAAGTAATTGTGAACTTTCTGAGTCACTATACCCTCATCACATTTTTTATTTGTGATTTAAAATCTAAATAAAATTTTGGAAATGTAGACAAATGTTATCTGTTTCCAGCTTCTTGTCACCTTCTGTGTCGAATTTTATACTGCAAGCATCTTGGAGTACAAATATCCTCTTATATTTCCCACCCAGTCAGAGAGGGCATGTTGCAGACCCCATCAGCGAGAGAATGTTGGCTGGTGGGACCTAGGAGGAGAGCCTTCTCTGCTTTTGCCCCCGCCCTTTGGAATATTCTCCCCCCAGAGGTGTGGTGGACCCCTACCCTCCCGGTTTTCCAGAAAGGACAAGACCTGGCTCTGCCAGTTTGCATGGGGCGATAAAAGTTTTAATCAATCCTGGGGGTGGCTGGTACCCTGATATCACTCCTGAGTTATTCGCCAATTCCATCATTCTTGGAATTTATTATTTTTAAGATTATTTTTATATTGTATTTTAATTTATTTTACATCCCTTATAAACCACCCAGAGTCGCTTTTCAATGAGATGGGCAGTGACAAATTTGATACATACATACATACATACATACATACATACATACAAACATACATACTTTATAAATGCCATGAATATTCTTTTAATTTCAGTGGTTACATTGTTTCCCTCCCTCTTTTGTCTTGAAATAGGAAATGTCAATGGATTTTTGAAAAAAAGTGAAAGCGATTAAAAGTTAAAATTTATCTTGATTTTCCCTATATTGTGAATGAAGATGAATAAAAGTTTTCAACCTTTCACACAAAATATATCTCCATTCTTCAGAAATAATTTAGTGTATAAATCTAGTAAGAATTAGCATAAAAATCTAGTAAGAATGCAGGCAATACGTTCCTATATCAACTTCTATATACAGCTATACAGTTTGTGGTTCAGGCCATCACTAACAATGCCTCTTTTTGAATCAACTTGATAGAGAAATTGAAGAAGAAACAGGTGCAGCAAATGGAAAGTGAGATTGAAGAACTGAAGGTCAAGTTGAAGGAGACCCATGTCCAGCTGGAGGCTGAGAGTCAGCAAAGGGCTCAGGTATGAATTGATAAGAGTATGAATAAAAAGGAAAGCATAAAAGTCAAATGCCTTTTGTCAAGGTGAAAACTAATTATCTATATGTAGACAAAATGGGAATAATTCATGCTGTGTCAAAAATGTCAGCAATGCTACACCAACAGGCCAATCTTGTCTGGGCTCAGAAGCGAAGTGGGATCATTCTTAATTAGTAATTTAACAGAAGATCTCCAAGGAATATCAGGACTGTAGATTAAACTGGTAAATTGAAAAAAAAATCTAGAAGAGACAGCAGCAAAACGCTTCTGTAGTACTGGCTGTCAGCTACGTGGATGCATTCATGAATTCACCAGGAATTGAACTTGATTTAAAGGGGATGCCCCTTCATCTACAGTGATGGCCAGTTTATTTGCACAGATAAAACAAAATCAAATGATAACTTAGATAAGTTTATTACTATAGAATGGTTATTATCAGAGCTGTTTCTTCTTCGGATGCTATTACAAAACACAAGGGGGTTTTCTAGTTGTAACTTTCGAGCCTTTTTATTTCAATGTGCTTTTAGTTCAATTTATAGGGCAATTCCATGTATGTCAACCCTAAAATAAATCTCATTAAGTTCAATGGTGTAGGGTTGCAAACTTCACTCTCCTCCCTCCCCTACGGTGATGTTAATATCTTCCTGTCATTTTGAGTAAAGTTCTTGTAATTGTTTTTTTAATGGTGCCTTCTTTTAACTTATTCATGTAGGCTGTCTTGAGTAGCTAAAACACATACATAAAAAAAGAAAAATTATATTGAAAAATTATATCTATTGAAATCCCAGTAATACCCCATGAACTTCCCATTATTCTGTCTGTAGTGTGAAATGGTATCCATAAAGAGGAGCAGAACCATGAGGTTTCCACTCAGTTGTTCCTATAGTTCTGCTGGAATCGGTCTTTCATAGAATTGCCTGAACAGTACTGATGCAAGACCCAACATTTCCCTTCAGAACTAATACAATTTATTAGAGGTTTATTTTCTAACCAGTGCAAAAAAAATAAAATAAAAATCCACCAATGATCTACCCGTAAGCACATGAAGTTAGTTAGTACGTGAGACAGAAATTAGGAACCTATAACGTAAAGAGGCAACCAACGAAGTACTAGAATACACTGAAATTTTAATTATCATGTTAGAGAACAACTTTGCTGGAATATCTTCTCTAGAATGGGGTGGCCAGAATGCCAGTAGAATCTCTCTCTGTAGATAATGTTATTACAAATAACCTTTTCCAACATGATGCCATACAGATGTATTGGATTACTAGTCCCAGAATTCCCAGTCAGATTTAGAGGACACACTAATCCAGAATCTAAATAAGTATTGTCTATCTCAAACAAGGTCAGAAAACAACTGATCTTTGAGATGTAACTGTCCAGTGTCATCTCTTGGCTAAATTATATAACAACAATGTCATTCTCCTACTCTCAAATATCTACAGGCAGGTCAAAATGGCAAACAGTTGTCTGTACAATAACCAGGAGTCAAACTTGGCTTGATGGTGTTGGGCTAGTAACTCTGCATCTGCAAGACTGAAATGAAATCACAATGAGTTTAGTGGGACATAGACATGCATAGGATTGCACTGCAAATATCAGTGATAGAATAAACTGTATTTGCAAATTTTTATCATTCAATTTATCCCTTGCTCCAAGTCATTGATTAATGCAATTTTGAACATTCATCTGAAACTAGCTTGTCAAGGTCTGGGCCAGAGTCCTAATCCAATTTTTAATTCAGAATATATTTTGTTTAGTTTGATCACCTGCTGAAACTTCTAAAAATGTTTCAGTTTCCGGTATCTAGTCTTAGCTTTTTTTTTCTTTCCATAACCCCTTTATTTTCCATTTTGGGATTATTCTTTCCTTGATAGGAAGCAGAGCATGTTCGCCAAAGGGAAGAGGAAGAAAGGAAGAAATTTGAAAGATGGAAGGAAGAGGAGAGGACAAAGTTTCATAAAGAAATGGAAGAACTCAGACAACTTTTCCTCACAGAAATCAAGGACTTTTCCAACAAAAATTCTGCCTTGGAAGGAGTAAGGAAAATACATAGCTTAATTTTCCTGTTTTTTTGAATACTCAGCATATTTGCCATCATTAATTCAGCACTGACACATCACTATTCCTGGAATTAAGACATGAATCTGATAATAAGTATTGCTGCCTTATTTATACATGAAAGTGTCTGCAACAGGGATAAAAATCTCCTAATTCTTAGAAAGATGTTGGAAAATGGAGCAGAGTACATTGCATGACCTATACTGAATGCCCTAAACAAACCTGCTGGCTCAGGGGTGATGGAGGATGCTATTCCCCCAACTACTAATCCCATCATTTTTTTTTAACATAAAATAATGAGATGTACATTCTTCTTTCCTGCAGATAGCAAAATGGGTAGGGCCAGTCCTGGCTAAGAGTAGGAAAACAGTTATTCTGACTGAGGGGAGCTTACCCAAAATATTTGAAGCCTTATGAAAACCTTTCCAATATTACAAGAATAATAGAAGGCCATGCAGCTTCTTGGTGTGATGGAGAAATCTAGGCAATAAACATTTCATATCAAAGGTTGTATTTCAGTTTCCTCCATCATATTATTTTCTGGGGTTCAAGGGCATGTGCTCCTCTGTTCTTCCTATCATATGTAGATGGATCACTGACAGACCCAAGGAAGGATGAACAGCTGTATTATATGTGAGAAAGAGCAAAGCAACAGCAGGAAGCCTTGCAAAGATCTTTTTCTCTATTCTTTCCAGCATTGTTCATATGGCAGGAAGTAGATGTAAGTGATTGTGATAATATTTAGGCCAGTATTTTCCCAATCAAGATAAAACTTTGCTCAGAGACTTAAAGCAAGATGCAATCAGGAATTGTGACTCTCCTTACATATAGTCATGCCTCTATAAGGATGGTCTGTGTCATATGTAAGATGGTATATGTTACCTAGAGAAATATCTTAATTTAATTTTCTGGCAGCTGCAGCCTGCTTGAAGTGACACTTTGTCATAGATCACATATTCCTTCTGCAGAAACTTCAGGAACTGCAAGTCAAGAATGCAATAGCCTCACATCTTGGGACATTGCAAGATGATGATTCTTTTGAGAAACAACAGTGGACTAAGACTCAGAAAGAACTACAAGGGGTGAAGACAAAGATTGAACAACAGGTGGGGGGACCTAAAGGAACGGTGCAGCCTTCTCCAGTCTATTCTCCTTCAGTTGTATTGAGACAACAGCTCCAAGAATTTCCAACCAACTCAGCCATGACCATACTGACTCATTCTTCTGGAAATTGTAATTTTGATATATGGTGTTACATAACTAGATAGGAGACAACCATTTAAGACTAGTATCTTTTGTTTGTAGTCCTTTGAATTCGGTAGTTAATTTGAGCTGTGTAACTGTTGAAGCATCATCAGAACTACAGCGGACAGATTGTTCTGAAGTCATTTATACTGATGTTTCTGAGACAATAATACTTTCTAATCAGTAAAGTTATACAAGCTGCAATTTAAAATCATACATAAAAAGAAATGCTACTGAATTCAGTAGCATATTAACATGGGTAAGATTACAAAGAAAAATGCTTCTATTGCTGAATCCTGCAAAACTCACTTTTTAATAATTTGGTAGTTATGCAACTTCGAATCAGGTATTGTCCAGATATCTTTACTATGACTTCCAGCGTTCCTAACCACAATGATTCTATACCTAGGAATAGTCACCAGGAGGGCATCAGGTTGGGAAAGACTATTATGCACTAAAATGGGTTTACAGATCCCTCAGTGAAACATGAGGCCATTGTAGGACTGAATGCAATTCCCCATTCTTGCTAATTGGCACTCTGAATCAGGTGCATCAGAAAATGTGAAGACTGGCACTTTTGTAATCCTAACTAACTGCTAAATACTCTTAAGCAACTTGTGATAAAGAATGGCAAGAGGACTGTCAATAAGGCTGGGTACTTTTTCCAATATTTATCAGAAAACCGAGTGGGAGTGGAAACTCAGGAAACTTCAGAAGGAGAACCAGAAGGAGAAAGAAAATGTGAGTACACTGAATATTTGTGCAACTTTCTCTCCTAGTAGAAGAGTAAGCATAGTGTATTCTTATATAATTAATGCCAGCCAAGCCTATTCATTTAGGGCAGAGGGAGCAGGAGGAACCCCAGTGGAGAAGAAATTAATATCTTTATCATCCATCATGGACAAGGAGATTAATTGATGGCACACTGCAGAGATACCAGCATCTCCACTCCACCATGGTATTAGGAGGATCCTAGTAGCCATAGCAAGACTGAAGGCCCTATCTTTGGTATAGTATGTGTAGATGCCCTAAATATAGATGTTGCACATATATTATGCTAAATGCTCGTGAAGGAGAACAAATCTACAGATATAATCACATTCCCTCCACGCTTGCACTTTAATTGTATTTCAATGCAATGCATTATTGCTTTATTGTATGACTAAGCAATCAGATCCAGAACAATGCAGCCCACACTTGAAAAAAGCCCTCATTTTGCCATAACATCTGCCATTAATTTCTGCTATATCTCAGATAGAATCCTAAAAGAGAGAATATCAAGAAAAATTTAGAAAGTACTGTGTATATATATTTGAAATTGCATGCTTTCATTACAAGTAAGCCCCATTTAGTTGCAGCCTATATAGTTGCATTTCTGACCATTCTTCTCTACTAAAGAAGTGTTTAATTGAGTAGAACAGTCTTTATACCCAAATGTTATTTTTCTGTCTCAGCTAAAGAATGAGAATGAAAGACTAAGGGCTTCCTTGTCTTCTGATCAATGGAAGATGGCCGAATATAACAAGAAACAACTTGCCTCCCTTACTACACAACTCAGAGAGCAAGCTAGTATCATCCAATCTCAGGAGAATACAGTAAGCCGAATATGATCTGCCTACAGTCTTGTGAGAAGCTCTTTATTTCCTTCATGTGACACAAATTTAGACAGGAATTTGTGCTTGTTTTCAAACCAGAATAACTATAGCCATACCGTTAGTTCCAGAAATGCTGCCTCATGAGATTTACGATTGCCATTTCATAACTTGCATGGAAACTGCATGTCTGAATGTTCTCTTATAGTAACACTTAATCAGTTGGGATATGCGTGATCCTGAATTAAAGGACAAAATGCAATTTGGAGCATGTGTGGACAAGTGTATTATGACTGTTGAGAATACCTGAAATCAAAGGCATTGTCCCTGGATTATGTATCAGCTGTGGAGGCAGCCACTTAAACCCTGAAAAAGATGTAGCTGTTTTAAGGTAATCCCTGCAGTTGCTACCTGTGGACCACACATGTTCCAAATCACAATTTGTCCTTTGAATCCAGGTTGCTGCACAGCCCTGTTATTTAAATAATCAAAGTGCTTTGATGGTAAGGAACTTTCATGCTATAACAAGGTTTACACCAGAATGCAGTTTTGAAGTTTTGACTTTAAACCCCCAAAATGGCTTGATATATTAAAAACAAATGACAGGTCATGCACTCAGGCATACAGACTAAAATGACAGTGCACACAAAGGAAGGGGAGATGAGGATAAATAATAAATTATTATTAGTCGATGGCAGAATAAAATGTTGAACTTTAAGATGGTATTAATATCCATTTGGGATCATGTTGATCCTCCCTCAGTTGTGTTCCTGCCTGAATAATGGTTTGTGGTCTTGGCCCCTGGATTAAGGGAATGAGGCAAAAATGTGCTTTCCTTTAAGTCTCCAGTCAGAGTAGTAACTGAGTCTTGTATCTGAGAGAGAGCAGCAGAGAAAGTCCTCTGTAGCTGCTCCTTTTCTGGCCAGCGTAGCATGCCTGGTAAGCATCCCGCTTGCTATAGTGTTCCTTTTTTGGTGGTAGAAGATATAATAGAACATATGGAAATCATTTTACTTTGAACTGTGAGTGGTAAGTTTGTGAACTGATTAACATTATTATGTACCAGTCATATCAGGTAAGTACTTACTAAACCTTGTAAATAATAGCTGACTTATTTTGCAAACTTACGTTACCTTTCAGATTAAGCTTCTGACTTCCAGCAAACCTAGAGGTAATGACCAATCCCTATATTGAATAATCGTCCATAGTTATAGTAGATTTTCTTTCTCTTTTAACAAAAGTATAGAATTCTCTAATAGCCATGTTTCTTCATTCAGAAGCATAAAGGCATGGTCACATGGCCTATCCAGCAGAGTCAGGGCAGACATCTCTAGGGTCTAGGGTTGTTGTAAATGTGCCAGTTTTGATGCTTAAAAAAAAAAGATTTCTCAGACATTTCATTAATTTAGAAAGTAAATACAACTCCATTCTGCTTCAACCATGGATTTTTTTCTCCAGGGAAAGTTTCAGATAGCTAGTCCTTTTTCTAGATCACATTTGTCCATCATGGATCCTTTATTACTAAAATATTAGTGATGCCCAGTAGGATCCACTGCAGAACACTATTTAATCTTTACTGAAGACTAAGGGGTTTTTTTAGGCAAAGTATAAATTGTATATCAAGGATTAATTATTACGATAGTAGCTGTAAGGATGCCAAAGCCTTGCTGGTGTAAAAGGCAAAATTTAAAGCATTTCTGTGTGTGGAGAGATGTGAGTTTCTATACTCAATCTTCATAATGCTACTGTGAGGGCAGAAATCTTGTTTCTAGAGATTTAATAGCCAATAACAACACTGTGCTATTAAAGTCCTTCTGAACTTCCTTTACACTGATCAGTGTGCAAGCATTGAAGCTTTTAATGTTGTTTTGTTATTGTTGCTGTTATTCTTATGTCTGCTAAGCATTTTACAAAGCTCAAGAAGACAGATCCTTGTGGTGAGGAGCATAAAATACAACATTCCACAGGACAACAAAAGAAGGCAAGAGAAAGGGAGAAGCAGGGAAAGAATATACAAATATTTCAGTTGCCATGCTGAGGCTTGCTTAACAACAGGTTGTAATAGGGTATGGTAATGCTTTTTAAACCTGTACCAAAACTTAATGTTCATTTACATGCTAATATTTCTTTCTCTCCCCCATTTTGTGCATCCAGATGAGACATTTATCACACAATATAAAATGCAGATTCATGAGTTTTGCAGCGAGTCCAAGTGATAGTATTTTCCATTGGCACATTCTTATTTTTTCCCTATCAGTTCTCTTACTGGGATAGTTCCATTGTGCTATTTGCTTCAAAATGCTTTTTCTTTCTTTTTAAAAGAGCTGGGCTGGACCCAGATTAAGGTTTACTTAGCTCCCATTAAAATAATGGCTAACTCATCATGTTAATGCCATGAGAATGTCTAAGGTGTGAATTGTGTTTTGGAATATGAATATAGTCTTTTTTTAAAAAAATACATGTTTTTAATTTCCAGAAATCCAGCAGGTACCCAAGACAGAAAAACTAGAAGAATCTAGTGAAGAAGGTATTTTTTATAAATTTCACCTGCCATTGTTCTTATATGCTAAATATTACTATTGCTGAGACAGATTCTAACCACTCCGAAGTGGTCTCTAAGATGCTGAGAAACTCCTATGGTTTTTCTAGGTCAGGAAAAGACAGTGGCTGGTCACTTAGTTTGGATTTCAGAAGAATTTCATAACTAATTCCAAAGAATGCCAGTGCTGAAATTGATAGTTATAGAGTTCTAGTTATGGTAACTCCTGATTACCACTACATTAAATCAAGTATATACTATATTTTTATTGGGCTGTCTCTGCAGTCCTGGGATGAATGAAGATGTTAGGACTACTTTCCTGCATTTTACAGAACCCCTCTCCTTCAGTGGCAGATTAAGTGAAGATGTTAGGATTCCATCTGATGAAGTCTGATGAAGAAGTTTTTTGGTTGCCTAAAACAGATGTTTAAGTGACAGTTTTGGGGTAGGGTATAAAATTTAAAGATTCCAGAAATAGGATTTTTAACCATCCTGTCCCTTGGTTTCTGTAGAACTAGATGATACTTTGGATAGGAAGAATAGAGTTCTGGAAACACTGCGGAAGGACCCAAATTTGTTGAAGCAATTCCGGCCAATTCTGGAAGAAACACTTGAAGATAAACTAGAGGCCATGGGAGTAAAGCGGGTAAGTCTCATGAGAAGAAAAAAGTAGAAAAGGAACATTCTTCCTTTTTTTATCCACTGGAGTTACTTTGAATTCCAACTCGATGCTATTCTGAAAATTGCAATGTATATTAATTTGTCTGGCAATAAAAAGTGACATAAAATTATACACATCTTTGAACACATCTTCAACACGTTCATATCCTTGACAGAAAATTGAAGACCACCTGAGCTTCCCATTCTTCTCCTCCTCCTCTAAAACTTTATTGAGGAAAATGGTTTGCCAAAGGAATTATGCTTTTTCTCTTGCCTCCAAAAATCATGGAGTACCAATTAAAGAATCTTCTTTAAGATTCGTTCTTGAGTTCTTTGTCTCAGTATATTGCAACAATCCAGTAAAAGACAAGGGAAGTATGAGACAAGTATATTTGGAAGAAATGCATTCTTGCTTGGCATATGACCTTATGCAATATAGCCATCACAGGTAGTGTGGAAATTCTCAGATTCAGACAGTCATAATCACAGTAGACACTAACCATGTCATGAACTAATTCAACATTTCCCTTTAACCATAATATTGCAAGATTTTTTTTAAAAAAACCCTCTGGATTGTCTGACAGTTACACTTTCACAGCTAGATAGATCTGTAACTGACATGCAACTAAAGCAAATAACCAGATCTTCAGGTCCCCCTCTTTTCTCTTGACTTAACTGCCATAGAAAGGTTAGAATGCAGTATAAATAATAGAATACTTTATAACTTGAATGGTCTGCTGTTCAGTAAATAACTATTTCCCTGTTGCAAAGTAATGCTTCCTTTGAAACCAGTGGGCCAAAATTACTGATATTTGCATAGCCATATCAAATTCCCTTTAGAGTTAATAAGTGGCTTTACATTAACTTAGCTGGTAACCTCTCATAGCACAATAGTGACATTCAGACCCTCTTCTTTCTTTGGAATTCTGAACAAGTTAGGCTCATCCGTCAAAGCATGGTCCTCCTCAGTCTTCAATAATCTTCCTCCACCCAGGGACCTTCTTCAGTGGTCTTCAGTCCATCTAGAACTGGCATATCTTTGGCAGCCAAAACTGCCTGAATCCCATTGGTTTGCCAGCCATCTTTTCTCCCTCTGAGTCCACCCACAGCTCCCTTTCTGCTAGCCACTTAGTCTATTTCAACTTCCTTCCCACTCTGCATGACAGTCCCTCTTTCTGTGTGAAAACCTTATCTGTTTCATTCCCAGATATTTTCTCAGCCTTGGTTTATCAACTCTGGACATAGCTCATATATCTGGGAGGTCACATGATAATTATGTCCCTTTTGTAATGGACATAAGGTTGGAATTTTAAGTTGCACAGCAACTTAATCCTCCTTGTTTCCATCCTTTCTAGTTGAGCAGCAAGTCTTGAAAAGAGTTGAACTAAGTTTTCCACCTGAATAGAGGCTTCCACTGTTCACATTCAGCCTAACATGGGATGAAGCCCCCTTTAGAATTGCCTGTTGTACCTGAAGAGGTTGAGATCTCAGGAGCTTACTCTCTGTATGAATGGTGGGTGCAGGGCTCACGCAGACATCTTTATGCTGATTAGAAACAATTGCCCCAATACTTGAATTGGTTTTATGTTTTATAGGGTACAAAAGGTATCCCTACTCAAACCTATACACATTTGAGAGCTTTGATAAAAAAGCAGCAGCAGCAGAAGGCTAAATCATTTCCACATCTGCTAACCTTGAGAAATAAACTTGAAAAAGAAGTTCAAAAGAAAGTGGTTCAGAAGGATGAAGGGAATGTGTCCTTGCCATTTTCTCCAATCTTAGGTAAGATGCTCAATTATATTATTTACAAATATAACATTTATTTTTATTTGATTAATATTTTATCATTTTATATAAAAACAGCAACAGTCTTAAAATATCTTAAAGACTAACAAATTTAGTGCTTAAATTGCACTGTGATCCCTGACTCTCATGTTATTATATTTTTTGTGTTTAAGGTTTACAATTTTTTCAAGATAAGATGAAATTAATCTAGAAGCTAATTTGTAAATTGGAATTTAAACACGTAAATGAATGAAAATTATTCACTACTACTTTTGCAGCAGATGGACTATATGAGTCCATAAGTATTCTTCCTATAGACTTTGATCATTCAGATTATGAAAGCACCAAAGTTCAGTAGCACAGCACATGTACTGTATCAGGTATAAAAGGGTTAGGTGCAAACTCCAACATCTCCAGTTATTAAGGAAATCCTAACCCATCTGAAATCCTTGGTTAGCAAGTTACAGTGAGTCACTGGTTTTCTGCTGTTAGGAGTGAACAGCACCAAAAACTGGCCAACCAAGTTCTTATATAGCGTTACAGATATTAAAGATAAGCACATGTAGACATTTTACCATTGACAAAAGATTGGTTTTCAACTGAAAAGGGGTACACAGGAATTTGGAGAGAGAACACTTTGTAGTGCAGGGTATTTAGTCTCCAAAAACTGGGAATGCCAACATGCTGGTTATTATTCTAACAGTTTGACTTTGCATCTTATTTTGAATGGGGAGAATTGTATGCATACTCATCAGTATCCTTGAAAATGTTGCAAATTATGGAAACACAAAGTTTGTGTATTCATTGATGCAAAAAACATTACAACTCCAGGAGGAAGTAGTCATGGCAGGTATATGGGGAGGATGGTTTCGCAAGTAAGGCTACATTGACTTTTACATTAAACAACAAGAAAAGGTAGATATATTCAGGAACCATCAGTGAGCCAGGTATGAGCATGTAGGAGACACATAGACCAATAAAAATTCTGTGCAGTGTTTGAGTCAGCTGGCCAAGTCATTAGTGGGATTTTTACTTAGGCTTCTTGCTTCATTTGGTTTCTGAGGCAAATATAAAACTTTTGTCATGTTTGAATTGCAAATCCTGCTTTTGTACTTACATTAATGCTATTCGTGGTTGTTTATGAAGCACAGGAGATATAAACCTTGCATTTTAAAACGTTATGAACTGCTCTGTGTTTTAGTTGTAATTGTTTTGATGTGGAACTCTTTTTAACAGTATTTTGTGAGTCCCCAAGTAGATACCAGTCAGGATGTTTTTTATCAAATGTTTTCAATTTTCTCCTTCAGGAAAAAACCAAAAAGCCCAGCATTCTCCACTCCAGGTTACACCTTCTAAGATTGGAATGCACCCAGTGGAAGTACCACATTATGCCCTCCAGACACCCAAACCAGCTCCTCGGAGCAAAGTTAGTTCCATGACTAGTTCACTAGAGATTCCAAAGGTACCATCTCCAAATCAAATTAGAAGCAGCTCACCTTCTCTTCAACAGTCTGCTGTTCACTTCCCCAGGTGAGTTCTGGATTATAGTTCTATATCACGGCTTTGATGTAGAATTGTTTTAACCTGTCTTTGATCTTATTATATGACATTTATTTATTTTATCCATGTATTCATTTATTTATTTATTGAATTTATGTAGCCACATCTCACTTGCATGTGACTTAGGAAGCTTAAGTAGTAGTTGTGAACTTTGACATTCACAGAGCCAGCCCATTTGAAGTACAGGCACATAGAATCCACATTCAGGAATTCAATGTGACACTGTCATGTACAAAGTGAGATTACTGCATCTCCCTTCTCTGCTAGAAATAGCACAATTTTAAAATTTCCTTTTAAAAATAAAGGAAGGAAGTTTCTGGATTGAGGCTGGAAAAGAGAGAAATTTAACATAGCTCTTGAACAGCCTCTAGTTAAAGTGGAATCTCCACAGAATTCTGGAGGAAGCCTCGCTAAATAAAGCAGAAGAATTTTTGCTGTGGGACATTGGTGATTTGGGTAAAAATAGGTAGCTGACTAGAAGGAATTTGCTTTAGATTTTTTTCTTTTTTCTCTGCGTTACGTAGCCAAGTTGAATTTCTATATTTCTCTGTGCAAGCTAGTGAATTCTGTATAATTCCAACCTTTATCCATTCTTCGTGTAGAATATGACAGTTTTAGTTGTTCTTGTGGTCTCTGAGAGAAAAAGTCCCTGTAGCATCTCTCAGAAGATGCTACCAGAAAACTTTCTATTTCTGTTCTATTTTGTAGCCATCTTATGGTATGCCTGAAGGACTATGCTTCCCTTTCCTACCTTCAGAACAACTTTTGTAATTTGTCCTCTTCATCATTGACTATTTTGCATTTTAATATTTAAATTCAATATCTTTTCCTCTTTTAAAATAAGGTTGATTTTGTTATCCATGGTGAGATTGGTCTATCTCCCAAGAAAGGGAGGAAGCTTCGGCTGAATCATCTAATCAAATGCCTCAATGCTACATACCCACAAGGTTTCATTTTACTATGTAATTGCCAGAAACACAAGACAGGTTATGATGGCATTTTCTTTCACACACTTAGGAAGATGATGCCAGAAGTGGCACCTCTTGGAAGATAAGTGGTGTTAGCAAGAATTACCAAGCACTTCTCCATAGTAGGAAATGGGGCTTCTGGGAGAGGAGGTTTGAGACCACCCATCTTCTACCCTACAAACTCAGTCAGTCTGTTACACTGATTTTTGTGCGCTATTTTCGTGTTTGTTTTGTAAGCTGTGTGAGTTTATCTTTGAAAGAAAAGTGGGGCATATTTTTAAGAATAGGTCATTGATATCTTGGCTACCCTGAAAGTACTTCAGATCCTATCAGAAAATTTGTAAACTTTCAGCATTCTTAGAATCTCACAAAGCAATCTCTCTATAATAATAGTTTATTTATTTTATTCAGTTTGGGCACCTCCTGTCTCCAGGTCGATTCTGGGCGGCTCACAACATAATGAAACAAATAAAATAGAATAAGATACAATATAAAATGGTTCACAATATTTATTCTTTTCCATTTTTCCTTCTATTGTGTTTCTCTTCTTCAGCACTTCACCTTTCAGCTCTGAGGCTGAAGAGTCTGAAGAAGGAACAAGCATTAGCTCTCCAAAAGTCACATCCCTCAGGACAGAACCAAAGGAGAGCAAAGCTGTTCCCAGAGTAGCACAGATGGAAGAGAGTGAGTGGGATTCATCTGACACAGATTTTTCTAAAGAGAACGTTGGTACAGGAAAGAGTTCTTCAGTTGTGGCGGGAACTCATTCAGGTGACTGTCAATTAATTGGTTTATTATTGCCACAACTTGTAGAAATGTAATTGTAAAAAAAAGCAAAACCACACATCCAAATACTAAAATATGTATGAACAATTGCAGCAATCAAATGACTCGTGTGAGCTGGGACAACATTTAACTTGTTATACATTGTTTATGGGCTTTGATGGCAGATAACTGAAATTTGGTAGTTGCTACTTTAATACCAGTGTTTATAGCTGTATTAAATACTGCTACAGAGATTTGCCACGGTGTGTTGCTATAATACAAGCTATAAAACCTGCATGTTTATTTCTATAAAATTCAGTAAGAAGACATGAATTAATAATTGTTTAGGCTAAATAACTTTTCAAATAAAATAAGCATCTCCTAGGAGACCCAGCAATATGCTGATAGGCTAGTACAACCACATGTCACCACTAATTCTGATCCTAACTGACGCCCTGCTTCATTTAGAAACGCTAGTGCAGTCAATGGCTAAAAGTCTGGAGAAGAAACTGAACGTACCTGGAAGGAAGCCTCCAGGTGGCGTGAAGCTCTTTGCCATCCAGAGCAAAGAAGATGCTAAAACCAATCACTCCACAAAAAAGCTTCAGGTATTTACATTAAATTCAAAACTTAAGACAGTAAGTAGTATTCTCTTAATTTTGTTTCTTGACAGTACAGTTCTTGTTCATGATTGATTTACTAGCAGCATAATCTCTGCATGTTTCTAAGAAAATTACATTGTATTCTATAGGCCTTACTAGTAAATGGGTTTAAGATTATATAAATTGTAAAGCGTCAAGATAGCCAGTATTTCAAAAATAAAAGTAGTCAATATGTTGTTATTGAAAGGATTGCACATTGTGTTAAGTCATAATGTGGTTTGGTTGCCTAAAGGTTATGAGTTCTACCAGATCTCAGCTGCAAAAAAACAGAGGGCCAACCCATGGCAGGAAAGTGATATAGAAGACTTTTTGATACTATCTACTTTTGAACTATTTTCTGGACTTCTGTAGCCTGGAACTAGTAGCCCCATTTTATAAGATCCCAGACATTAAAACGTTGTGTGTTATGCAAGCCAGTCAATTGTAGTTTATTGTAAAAAATATTAAGCTTAGTGTGATATCTGAACAATATGTTTCTAGAACCCATATTAACTTTATGTGACATTGATTATTATTTATCAAACACTTACATGCACACTCAATAGCAGACATCCTAAACCTAGGGCCTTCCATAACATTGGAAATACAACTTCTAGATTTCCAGGCATCAAGGCTCCTTAGATTGCCAACACAGATAGAGAACATCAGAAAGAGAAGGACTGCTGCAGATAATCTGAGAATATACTAAGGGACGATAAGCATGGACAAGATCTATCTATGTGGTCGCTAAGAGTCAGCAATGACTTAATGGCAAGTAATCAATCAAAGGTAGACCCTTTCAGTAGCTAGAGACTGCACTTATTTTTATTTTTTACATGAAAGGTCAGTGACAGCATGGGGCAGGGAAATGATGTGAAGCGCTAGGACTACATCAGCCATCCAAGCGGAACAGAGATTTTCATCCAGGGGCTGTGCTAGGCCTGTAGGCTTACAATGCAGTTTCATTTGTTTCTTACCTCAACATCATGGGAAACCATAAGTTGGTGGTAAATATGGAGGCGGCTCATGGGACTACAAGAAAGGGTTAGGGTTAGGGTTAGGGTTAGAGGCTGTCCGCCTTTGTATGATAGCTGGCTAAATTGTGTGAATGTTGTATGAATTCATTCATAAGTTATTCTTTCTTGTTTATACATTCGTGTGCAATGTAAAAACAGCATAAAAATTGCTTAGCAATACTTTTTAGAAATATATTTTAACAAGCTTTTACAAACACTCATCTAAGTAAAAAGTGTTATATTTAAATGTATGTTTCTAAATCTGTATTTTACAACATTCAGTGAAACATAAAATCTGAAGGGTAATTGCAAATCAAATATTTTTTTATTCACAAGTATCAAATTCTTCACGCATCTGTTGGTCATCCAGTCTTTGCAAGCTCTCCATCACTTGTTCTCTTTTTGTTTTCTTTCTTCTCTCTGATGTAGTTTGCCTATGAGGAGGATAGTGACTTGGAGATTTCTTCCTTGGAGGAAATCACCCAGCACCTGGACACTGAAACCAAGATAAAGAAGCAGCAAGGGGCCAGAGGTAGTGGGGACTCCACTGGATCACGGGGCACCAGTATCTGGACTTCTAGCAGCACAAAGGCTGGGGCGTGGTGATTCTCATGGTTATATAAGCTGTGTAGAGCACAGAATCCAGATGAGATAGAACAGCATGCCATGGCAGAGCAATCAGATTAAATTTGATACTCACAAAGAAAGAACAAGACAGCACCAAATACTGGAAGTATCACATTCAAGGTTCTAGGTTCTATGCATAGTTTCAAAACAAACATTTAATTAAAATGAGTTCTTCCACTGCCCTTCAGAGGAAGGAAAAGACCGATTTATTCTTTTGCTGAAACACTATCTTGACATTTAAAAATAATTTTGTCAAGAAGACACAGGCCTGGTTCTCACATCATGCACAGCCATAATGTGGTGCACTTGGGTCTAACTTTTAATTTTTCCTTTCTAATACTGTGATGGATGTAACTCAGTTTGTGAATAGCCATAAAAATAAATCAAATGGGGGCTTCAAACATTTTGTATCCCATATGCCTCCAATTTCATTCCAAGTCTTAGCTTGATTGCACTTCAACGTACGGTATTTCCAAGGTGCAGACTACTTATTTAACTCTGAAATACTTTCAAAGTACAGTAGAGTCTCGTTTAACCAACCTTCGCTTATCCGACATTCCGTCTTATCCGACAGCCCTAAAAAAAACACAACAACACGCATAAATCGGCGACAAGAAAAGTGTGCCGCTTGTTTGCGAGCGTGAGTGTACTCTTTCTTGTTGCTTCTGATGGTGTGGCGCCGCAACGCAAAAATTGATTGCAACAGGTGCAGCAGGCGCACACGTCTAGCCTATGGCTCATGTGTCAGTCATGTCTCACCTTTCCTAATGGTCGCTCAGTGCAGTTATTGTATGCGGATTGGGTTTTGTTTTTTTTTTAACCGTACTCAATTGTTACTGTGTGTTATCCGACATTTTCGCTTATCCAACATTCTGCCGGCCCGTTTATGTCAGATAAGCGAGACTCTACTGTATTTTTCTATTATGTTTAGTTAGAATCACAGTATATTTGTGAGAGAATATAAATCTGGCCTTGGGAAGGGGGAAGACAGCAATGAATCAATAAGGGAGAAGAAAAAAACAATTCAGTCTGCAGAAAATGGAAACTCATAATAACCCCACCTCAGTTTCGTTTGATATAAGGTGGGGCAGAGAGAAATTCTGGCAGGTTTTCAAGATTCTATTATTCTACCCTACAACAATAATGAGCATTCCTAGAATCCTTGGTGCTTCTGTTTCATGACCTTGCCTACCTCGAAGGGTTGACAATATCATGAACCACGTATGATTCACGGACTGCAACTTAAGATGTTAGAGATAAGTGACAGCCACTTAGGGATAATAGTTAAGTGGTTGGAGTAGGACTGAAGGGATCCAGATTCAAGTCCAACCTCAGTCATGAGAGCTCACTGGGTGGTTCTAGGCCAGCCGTATCTCTTAAGCCTGACCTAACCCACAAAATGGTTGTAGTGAAGATAAATGAAAGATGGAAATGCTGTGACTGCCACCTTCAGCACCAGGAAGAAGAGTGAGATATAATACATTTATCCCATAGTCATTTCCCAGTTGGACTGATGCAAAGCACTCTATGTGGGGCTGCCCTTGAAAAACACTCAGAAGCTTAAATTGGTCCAGAATGCAGCTGTTGAAATAGTATGATTGCATATTATTTTGGATGTACCAAGGTTCAACCAGATTACATTATTGTTGCACAAGTTTCACCTCCTGCCAGTATACTTCCAAGTACAATTCAAGGTGCTAGTTTTCATCTTTAAAGTCTTGCACAGTACAGGAAAAGGTTACTTGCAGGACTGCCTCTTCCCAAGGGTTTTTGCCCATCCCACCAGATCTGACAGGGTGAGCACACTCCAAATTGCCTTTATCAAACAGCGTTATCTGGTGGGCCCTAGAAAATGTGCCTTCTCTGTTCTACCACCTGCCCTATCTAGCACCTGCCCTGTGGAACAGCCTCCCCACTGAGATCCGGGAAGCCCCAGCTCTCTTGGTCTTCCAGAGGCTGTGAAGACCTGGCTCTTCCCCCAGGAACTGGCTGGGAGGTTTGTTGAGCCCAATATAGGTGCAATTGTTTTGACGGTTTTGTTATGATTCCTTAGTTGATAATATGATGGTTGTTTATAGATTTTTTTTAAAAAAAATGTATTTTCTGGAGTTTGTTGTGAACTACCCAGAATTATGTATTTAAGATGGGCAGCCATATAAATTGTATATATAATGTTTTATAAACATGCAGAAATCCTGTATGCTTTCCCAAGCAAGAGAAAGGGTGAACCATCTCTCCCAACTATTGTTCTCCTGAGCCACTTCTAATAGGAATTGATTTACAGTTGCATTGGCTTCCAATAATGCCTTCTTTATTCAATAGTCAGTCCTCCATGTTGTGGAAAGTGAAATGAATGAGAGTGAGTTGGATTACCTAAAGAAGCCTCTTATTATCCCAGGGAAGACACTGGGAGGGACACTGTCATCTTGTCTGATCATGATCATTCCTGGTCAATTGCTGCAATGCAATTGGTTGTTCCCTACCCTCTCCCTCATCCCAAGAAGATTCCTGCTAATCTGACTGTTCAGCAGGCAAATAAATGCTCCTCTGCTGACTCTGGACTTTTTGCCAGCCTGACAAATCTCCATTCCTGGGGAGTTAGGGAATGAGATATCCTCTGAGTAAGTCACGCTGCTCTGAAAATTAAGTTCTTCAGGGGTCCCCATTTGTGCAGATATTTTTATGGCTTCTATTCTTCTTAAAATCTGGACCCTTCAAGAATCTCAGTCAAGCTGGCCCATAAGTTACAACTTATTTGAGGAGCTCTAGAAAATATATTTGAAACTGAAAAGTTGCTGGATATTGCCACTTGATGGCACTATGTCTGAAGAAACACAGTATTTTTCTTGAGGCTTTGCAAATGCCATTTGTAATGAGAAAAAGTTTTTTTTCCCCCAAAACAAAGCATTTAGAACACCAAGAGGAATAATAGTAAATGAAACATCCTATACATGTGTCTAAATTGAAAATCACAGAAACAAAACTTTAGCTTGATTATATTTCCTCCCATCCTTACTGTGCTTTTTCCCCTTACTGAGACCAATGTTACAGAAATTTGCTCAATATTTCCCAGGAAGATTGCATTTGAATACCAGCAAATCTTAACCACATCTAGACTTCTCAAAATTGTTGAACAGAAAAAAAAATGGGGAAAAATAAAATTGCACATAGAGATCTTTGGGAAATGTTCGATGGCTGTATTTGAAGTAGTGCCAATGAGTGTAAAGTATTTGTTGGTTTTCCTCTAAATTTTTTTTTTTTTTTTGTCTGCGCTCAGTCATTGCTGACCCTGAAGTGACTGCTTG